CCCTCTCCAAGGACCTCTCCCTCCTTACAGTATGTCCAAAGTATGTCAGATGAAGCCCCAGAATCCTTGCCTCCAAGGAGCAGCCTGGTTTAACCCTCTCCAGGATGAATCTGTTTGTTTTCTTGGCAGTCCATGGTACATTCAGTACTCTTCTCCAGCACCACAGCTCAAAGGCATTAATTCTCCTTTCTGTCCTCCCTGGTCCTTGTCCAACTCTCTAATGCATAACAAGTGATTGCAAAGACCATAGCCTGTGTCAGACTCACCTTAGTCTCCAGAGTGACATCATTGCTCTTCAGTACCCTGGAGAGGCCCCTAACAGCAGACTTTCCCATGGCAATACATTTTTTTATTTCCTGGCTACTGGTGCCAAGAGTGTTTACCATGGAGACTAGCAGACTAAGGTTGTTAAGAATCTTAGTCTCTTCACCATCCATTCTGACGCTGCCAATTTACATTTTAGAAGAGCACTTAACAGTCTTGTGATACCTTTATCATCAGGGTGGGAAATTTTGGACTAAGTGATTTTATAATTGATTTATAAATGGTTAAACCTATGTTTTTACAGAGTTGGAAGGAGTTCCCTAAGACGCGTTTGTGTTTCAATTTCTTGGCCCTGTTTTTTTAAGTATTTTAATTATAATTCAGTTGAGGATGTTACTGACATGCCAGTTTTTGTTTGGAATGAGTTTCTTTTCTACTTAGAATCTTAAAAGTTCTTGACTGATAAAGAAACAAAATAATATTTCAAAAGGAGCTGATGTAAATTATTAAATTGTATTTAAAAAAACTCGGATACATAAATTCAGAATTTGAGGTGGGAGGAGGAAGGGAACGGTTCAGAATTTACTTGTGAGAAGAATACATGGGATTTTAATTGATCAGGTAAATATAAATAAAATGTAATGTAACTCCAAAAAAATTCTGCATTGTATTAGACTATGTTAGTGAAGAATAGCATCTCAAACAAGAAAATCAATTACCTTACTCCATTCTGAAATTGCTACCTCATCTAAGAAATGTAAGGTAATGTGGCCAATCCTGAGTACTATCTCTGAGAAGTATAAAGTGAGAAGAGTGACCAACTGTTGCTGAGAAGACCTAGTCTGTACTGTAAAGAAAGCAAGCTTGGGATAAATGATAGATACATTTTGACTTTGGAAGAGAGCTTGTTTAAACTTGTTCTTAATAGCTAGACTCCAAAACTAGATCCAAAATTTAGAAGCTATAAGGTAGCAAATTTTTTCTTTTACATCCAAGAAAAATTGTTATTTTTTTAATATAATGTCTTTTGGTGTTGTATTCTTTGGTGTTATGCTGTGTTTTGGTTTGTTATGTGGTGGTGTGTTCTGGGGTGTAGTGCTGTGTGTCATGGAGTTGTGTTGTATTCTTTGGTGTTGTGTTATACACTTTGATGTTGTATTTTGTTGTTGATGTTGTGTTGCACTCTTTGGTGTTTTGTGGTGTCATTTGATGTGGTATTGGGTCATGTTGTATTGTTTAGTATTTTCTTGTATGGTGTTTAGTGTTTTTGTGTGGTGTTGTAATCTTTGGTATTGTGTTGTGTAGCATTTTCTAGTGTTGTATAGAGTTGTTTGGTAAACATAAATTCTTTAGTAGTGTGATAGAGATTATGGTCAATGAAAGGACAGTTGGCCTGTACCACAGAACAGAAATGTTTTGTGGAAATTTCATTAACAAAGTGGAAGGCCAGATGTAAGCTGAGGGGAAAGTTACTAACTTTCTTTGTGTTCCTAGAATATGTTTATAAACAGAATTTTGGCAACACATATTTTAAACAGGGCTTTTAAAAGGTAGTTTAAGAAAATGTTCAAGTTAGCATTACACTTCATTTGTTTTTCTTTCAAAATTATTATCATTTACTACTACTTCTATTTTCTTAAATACTCACTAGGTTAAGCTTTTTTAATTTCAACTTGATTTTCCACTAGACATTTTACCTCCATTGCAGCAGATTTTATACTCTGTATGATTACTCAGGTAAGCATTTTGTCTGAAAAGTATAGTTGTTGTTGTTGTGTTGTTGTTATGTGCCGTCGAGTCGTTTGCGTGGCGACCCTATGCACACCACCCCTAAACCCTGCTCTATCCTGCGCCAACCGCACTGCCTCTGACACACCCATCCCGATTACCCCAGTCACTGAATCGATCCATCTCATAGAGGGTCTTCCCCTCCTGCGCCGTCTCTCCACCCTCCCAAGCATGATGTCCCTCTCCAAGGACCCGGCCCTCCTGGCAACATGTCCAAAGTATGTCAGACGAAGCCCCAGAATCCTTGCCTCCAAGGAGTAGGTTGGTTTAATCCTCTCCAAGATGAATCTGTTTGCTTTCCTGGCAGTCCAGGGTACATTCAGTACCCTTCTCCAGCACCACAGCTCAAAAGCATCCACTCTCCTTCTGTCCTCCCTAGTCATTGTCCAACTCTCTGATGCATAACAAGCGATTGCAAATACCATGACCTGTATCAGGCGCACCTTAGTCTCTAGAGAGACACCGTTGCTCCTGAGTAGAGAGGTCCCTAACAGCAGACTTTCCCATCGCGATACACTTTTTGATTTCCTGACTGCTGGTACCAAGAGTGTTGACTGTGTAGCCGAGCAAACTGAAGCTGTGAACACTCTCAATCTCTTCGTCATCCATCCTGACGCTGCCAATTTGTCCAGTGGCGAGAATCTTTGTCTTCTTGACATTGAGCCTCAGTCCATACTGAAGGCTGCAGTCCTTGACCCTTCGCAGCAAGTGCATGAGGTCCTCCTCGGTTTCAGCAAGCAGGGTTGTGTCATCTGCGTAACGCAGATTGCTAATAGATCTTCCACCAATCCTGATGCCACAATTCTCCTCATAGAGCCCAGCTTCTCGGATAATCTGCTCTGCATACATGTTGAAAAGGTATGGAGACAGGATGCATCCCTGGCATACACCCTTCCCAATTTTGAACCATGCAGTGTTACCCTGCTCTGTTCTGACTACTGCCTCTTGATCCAAGTACAGGTTTCTCATTAGCACAATTAAAAGTATAGTAGTAAAAAAAAAAGATGTCTTAGTTGAAACTAAACTAAATTTGCACAGTGATCATAATTTGGTCCCTGGGTGTATCCTATGTGATAGCTACTGGGTAGAGTAATTCTGGGAGGGGAGAACTGAGGAGAAATGTGAAATAAAAAGGTAAGAAAAATATTCTAGAGGGAGAGAGCTTCTTGTTTTCTTCTAATAACCCTGCTTCCCTCAAATTTAGAGAGAGACGATATCCAAAAGAACTCCTTTTCTTTTAGAACCAGAGGCCCCTTAATTAACTTTTCTTTTTCATCACCCTTCCTCTCTTCTTCCACTTCATCTCTCTAAAGAGACTCTGACACCTCTTTTTTGGTGCTTCCCTGGGGAGACTTCCTTTGTGTGGAACTGCAAGTTTATGACTTGTGTAAATTGTGTGCATGGCATTATAAAATAAAGTTCACACACATAAAAATCCTATTGATTAGCCAAGTTTCCAAGCACATGATTAATGAGTAAGAAATTATTAAATAACTGTTGCTGAATCTGCTTGTTTCTGTTATTTGTTGCTGTCCAGTGGGCTCTGACTCATGGTGATCTTGAATAGAAGAAAACTTTGCCCAGTTCTGAGCAATCCTCAAGTTGGTCCATATTTTTGAGCCCGTTGTTTGGTAAAGCGACGGGTCAGTGAGCATGAGGGAAACCTTCCATTCAGAGATGGACGTGGTAGCTACAGCCGTGGGCTTAAATATTTGTGTGCTCTCTTTTGCTCTTTCTCTGTATGTTTTAACTCAATACTTATGCCTATCAAGAAGATAGAATTTGATGGATAAAAGTATTAGGGAAGGTGGATGAGAAAAGTAAGTAGAAAAATTTTATGTGTAAATAAAAATAGTTAAATAGTTTTTTTGTTAACTTTATTTAGTGAACTGCCTTTTGAAATACTTTTGAGAAAGATAATAATTCTTATTTCAAGTATTCTTTCATTGAAAACATTAGTTTGGCCATTCCCACATCATACACATTTTGTTAGTTATCTGTTTCTACAATAATAGTCTTTGTCCTTTATGAGACTGAGTTTTGTCCAGTATTTGTCCTTAAGAGACGGAGTTCACTGAGCATAATGCTCTCCAGTCCCTGCCAAGTTAGGTAGTGATTTACAAAACCATTGCTCCTGTGTGCTACAAAGCATTCCATCATTTGATTGTACCATAATTTCTCAATTCTTTCATTTGTGGTTGGATATTTGTGTTGTTTTCATGTTCTTGTGATGGTGAATAATGCTTCTCTGAACATTGGTTTACAAGTCTCCATTTGTGCCTCAGTTCTCATTCTCTCGGGGTATATTCCAAGCAGTGGAATAGCTGGATCCTATGGAATTTCTATGTTCAACTTTCTGAGGAAACGCCAAACTACCTTCTGGGTGTGTGTATGTGGGATCCAATGTGAGGGGCAATGTATATGAATTTTGTAAGTAAACCAGTGTAAAATTTAAAAAAAGAATTGCAAGAATTAAAGAAAAAACCAAACATTAGTATGCAGTGTCCAGGAGGACTTATTTCAATTAATCTGAGTTTAAAATTGAAATCATTAGTTTATAGCATCTAAGAGAGCTTCTTATTTTTAATTATTATCTTCATTTAAAGTTTTTAAAAAGGTAAGTTGTATTTATTTCCTACATTATATGTGTGAATAACATGAGTATCAAGTTTTTAAAGTATATATAGCACTACCTTTAAAAAACACTTTCTATAAAAGATGCCTTTTTTACCTATAAAAATTATTTTCAGACTTGCTTTGGTATGTACAGAGTTCGAGGCTAGGAATTTGAGCCCATCTGTGCTATGTTTGACTTGCTTCTTTGACACTCTTGCTGTATGCATGGACCTGTAATGAAAGTTTTACTTGCCTCAGGGTTATGTATATGATCTGTGCATATATTTTCTTTTTCCTCTAATTGCTACTTTCCCCCCTGACCTCCACCCCAGCATTTTGGAGCTAGATTCTAGGAGAGTGAAACCTGTGAACCCTGCAAATCAAAGGCGGCATCTTCTAGGATTTTCTGCTAAAGAGCCACAAGACATACCAGAGGGCATCATCCAGGAAGATAGCTACAGGTGAGACGACACCTATCCGTTTGTCTGATTGACTGATTTTAGGAAACTGAGATGGAGATTATATTGTATTATTTCATATCTTTCGTGCATAATTTTGACTAGCTCAGGTAAGTTACTAAGGCCATTTGATAAATTTTACTGTAATACTATCCGTTCTGTCAATAAGTTTACTTTGTATATAAATAGAGTATATTTATTTACTTACTTAATTGACTGAAGGGATAAACTTTTTCTACTATTGTAGAAATGTTACCTTAAAAATCTCAGATTAGAAGCAAGAATAGGCATCCAAGAAGAGAGCATTCTGCTCCTCCCTCAGAATAAATGGAGACCAGAAATCAGAGGTGTTTGCCCAAGGGAAGCAGGATTTCATCCAGCACTTCTCCCAGATTGTCAAGGTGCTGACTGAGGATGACCTGGGGCACCCAGAAATAGGAGATGCAGTTACTCAGCTCAGGAAGGTCCTAGAGTACAATGCCATCGGAGGCAAGTACAACCGAGGTTTAACAGTGCTGGCAGTGTTCCAGTAGCTGGTAGAGCCCAGGAAGCAGGATGCTGAGTCTTCAGTGGGCCTTGTGTGTGGAACTGCTCCAAGCCTTCTTCCTTGTATTAGACGACATCATGGATTCATCCCTGATGCAGGCAGCCCTGCTGGTATCAGAAGCCAAGCATAGGTCTGGATTCCATCAATGACGCCATGCTGCTGGAATCATGTATTTACCGCCTGCTGAAGCTCTACTCCTGGGAGCAGCCCTATTACCTGAACCTGATGGAGCTCTTCCTGCAGAGTTCCTATCAGACTGAGATTGGACAGACCTTGGACCTCATCACTGCCCCTCAGGACAAGGTGGATCTCAGCAGATACACTGAAAAGAGGTACAAATCCATTGTACAGCTTTCTACTCCTTTTACCTTCCTGTAGCTGCTGCAATGTATATGGCAGGCATCGATGGGAAGAAGGAACATGCCAACGCCAAGAAGATCCTGAAGGAGATGGGCGAATTCTTTCAGATTCAGGATGATTACCTTGATCTTTTTGGTGACCCGAGTGTGACAGGCAAGATTGGCACTGACATCCAGGAAAACCAATGCAGCTGGCTGGTGATCCAGTGTCTGCAGCGGGCCTCTCCAGGACAACGCCAGATCCTGCAGGACAATTATGGGCAGAAGGAGACGGAGAAGGTGGCCTGGGGGAAGGCACTGTATGAGGAACGGGAGCTGCCTGCTGTGTTCAAGCAGTATGAAGAAGAGAGTTTCAGCCACATTATGGGGCTTGTCAAGCAGTATGCTGCTCCCCTGCCCACAGCCATCTTCCTGGGATTAGTGCACAAGATCTACAAGCGGGAAAAAAAAAAAAAGATCTACAAGCGGAAAAAGTGACCCTAAACACGGCGAGGGTGGGGGAGGGGAGGCTCTTAGTAAATTATTATTGTTTAAAAAAAAAATCTCAGATTACTCTTTCTCTTCTGGTCACTGGCGCTCTGGGAGCTGTGGCGACAGAGCAGACATGGCCAAGTCCAGGAATCATACCACACACAACCAGTCCCGAAAATGGCACAGACACGGTATCAAGAAACCAAGATCACAACGATATGAGTCTCTTAAGGGGGTAGACTTCAAATTCCTGAGAAACATGTGCTTTGCCAAGAAGCACAACAACAAGGGCCAAAAGAAGATGCAAGCCAACAGTGCCAAGGCCATGGATGAACGTGCCGAGGCTGTGAAGGCTCCTGTCAAGCCCAAAGAGGTCAAGCCCACGATCCCAGGGGGGTGTCAACCGCAAGCTCAGCTGACTCGCCCATCCCAGGCTTGGGTAGTGTGCTCAGGCCCGCACTGCCAAGGGACTAAGGCTTAACCGGCCAAAATCCAAAGCCAAGGCTGACAGTAAGGCCGAAGCTCCAACAAGGTCCTCAACTCAGGTGCCGGCCAAGGCCTCAGCCCAGGGTTCTGCTCCAAGCCAGGCTCCTAAATGTGCCCAGGCCCCTGCAAAGGCTCCATAATTGGATTCTCCATCTGAGGATAAAAGGACTGGTGTAAGCCCCTGGGCTGCTACCATCTCCATGGAGCTGGTGTCCTCCTGTGTTATGTGTACAAATAAATCCTAAGGAAGGGAAAAAAAATCTCAGAAAATGCATTCATTTACATACTGAAATGCATATAGTTTATAAACAATACATTATATACATAATACTTTAATATAGTTATTTATCATTGTTTTGTACATATATCTAGTATTTTTTACTCTATCCATTTGTGAATGATAAGACCTAGAGGTTTTCCAGGGTTAATTTTATTTGCAATCATTAGATAAAATCATTTATACTCATTTGTTATGAACTTTGTTGTATCTTATTCCCTTGTTACAATTTATACTGACTTGGTTAATTCTACATTGTTTGTTCATAATAGAAGACTTTATAAAAGCATAGTACAGCCTGCTATAAACTGATGACATAGCCTTGCTTGCGAAAAATGAAGGTTTGATGCATTTACTAATAAAGCTTAATGGCTTTCAGTGTAAATTACTCCTCAACATGTAGTAAGCAGATATCTTACCAGCTGGACCAAAAAAACCCCCAACATCATGAAAGATCCTTGACATGATTGAAGACGTCAAGGATTTAATTTTATTTGGATCCACAGTCAACACGAATGGAAACAGCAATCAAGAAATCAAATAGTGAGTTGTTTTAGGCATATATGCGGCAAAGGACCTTTTTAAAGTGGCAAAGAGCAAGTGTGTCACTTTGAGCACTAAAGAGTTTGTGACCCAAGCCATGTAATGTTCAGTTACTTCATATGCATGTTAAATTTGAACAAATTATAAAGAAGACCAAAGATTACTTGATGCCTTTGAATTGTGATAATAGTGAAGAACATTAAACATAGAAGAATATTGGGAAAAAAAAAAGAATATTGAACACGCAAGCCAATAGAAAAACCGAGTCTGTCTTGGAGGAAGTGTAACCAGAGTTAGACTTGGGAGTGAAGTTGGTAAGATTTGTCTCATGTACTTTGGGCTTATTACCAAGAAGGGTCAGTCTCTCATAAAGGACGTTATGCTTGGTAAGGCAGAAGGTATGCTTGATCTAAGCCATCATATTTTCACTTACTTTCTATGCATCAGAAAAATTGGAAAATGACTAATGAAGGCTGAAGAAAAGTCAGTGCCTTTAAAATGTGGTGTTGGGCAAAACACTGATTATCTCATAACTGCCAAAAGAGAAAATGAGTCTGTCTTCAATCAAGTGCACCTGGGGTGCTCTTTAGAGACAAGGATGGTGAAACTTGATCTCACAGACTTTGGGCATATTGTCAGGAGGGGTAAAAAAAGACATGAAAAAGACATCATGTTGGGAAAGGTAGAGTTAGAGAAAGAGAAAGAGGTTCTCCACAAGATGGATTGAGCTCTAACAATGTCAATCTTATCAGAGATGCTGAGGATGGCACAGGATAGGACAAGGTTTCAATCTGTTGTTCATAAAATCAACGTGATGGCACTTAACAACAGCAGAAACAAACTTTTCACTATATCTCTTCTGGCTGCAAAAACAGAAGGTTGATGGGAAAATTAAGGGAAAAAGGATTAAGAAAAGTCTGTGAACCATTTGAAACCACCAAACAAGTATTTGCTTTAAGTGGAATTTTAGGATGCTTTTTGCTCAGCCATGATACCTGTATTTGTTTTTTTAGTGCAATGTATTTTTTATTTTATTTTCTAGGAGAATTGTAAGAACTAGTTCAAGTGAAAAAAAGAGTTAATCCTGATTTCATAGTATATAATGCTGTATTTACTTACATTTTTGGGGTCTGAAACTCTATAATATATAGATAGTATAACCATAAAGTTGATCAGCTAACACTGACATTGGAAGATAGTGCCTAGTAATAGATATGACAGGATATCAGGCATAAATCGTAGGTAAATAGGGAAGGATGGAATACCACCCAATATATAAGGCATCAATCAGGACCTGTCATTAGTCCAAATATTTTCTTTAACTTACTAGTATTTGCCTTTTTTTGGTGATTTATTTGCTGAACTCTTTTCTATTGATTTAGAAAGGCTTGCAAGCTTTCTGGAGCTCTGAGCATCTCAGGGCATTGTGGCTCTGATTATCTCCAGATTGCATCTTGGCTTAAATGCTCCCTTTCCTTTTTCTTTCAACTCCACCCAGTTTCTTTCCTGCACTTCTCCTATCAGATTTTTTATTCTTTTTCTTTTCCAAAGAATGTTTTTGGCTAGTAGAACAAAGCTAGTCATCACAGATGTGTAAAAGTCATTTACTAGAAGTTTATTACATGGAAAGAAAAATCATAAATCAGAAATACATTTTCAAAAGAATTCCTAGACTTCTCTAACAGACTGTGTAGTGTTTGTATTTTTAAGTATGTAGACAGAGTTTTTAAAATAACACATATGACAAAGTCTCTGTTTTTGACCTTTTAGCATTGTAAGCAGCCTTTCCTCATAGGTACTCAGAAGAGTGTACATTACGAAGTACAGTCTTTGAAAGAGTTCCTTTTCTTACCCTTCAACACTTAATTTTAATCAGATCTCCTTTTGAGTACTATTACTATCTTGTACTAACATCTCTATTTTATTCCAAATAATCTTTATAGCCAGAAGAGAGGACATTGAAACAATTTCTGGTCCAAGTTGCAAGAAATAATGCTCTATAAATCCTCAGCTTTTACATCTTCTCCCTGTATATACTGAGATAGAGAAAAGTCTCAAACTTTGACTATAAGGTTGATTTTCACTTTTGTCAAAATATTTTTTTGTCTAGTGTACCAGTGATTTCAATGCGGCCAAATTCAATGCAAAACTTCTCTCTTAATCTTGATAGTCCTTTCCTCAACATTTGGCTGCATGAATCACAATCACTCCTTCCTTGAAACATTCTCTTTCTCTGTTACTATAATTTTTGTTTTCAATTCTTCCTTACCTTACTGATTGTTGCTTTGCAAACTTCTTTGTAGGCTTCTGCTATAGCGAAATCTTAGTGGTTGGTACTGTGAACTTTTTTTTTCTTTCTGCAGAGGTGACCTGATTTTTAATATAGCACACATTTCTTATCTCTGTATTGTGTTGACTCTGAACTTTGTGTTTCTAGTCCAGATTTACTCTGCATTCCTTTGCCCATTCTACTTCTAATCAGTTCTCTACAGCCTTCTTTATTTCCTAGGATATGAATTAGCAAGGTAGGTAGAAGAGTGTAACATTTTTTAAGCCAATGGAGTAAACAGTTAATACCCTGATAGTATTATATGATGTGATTTAGATTCCCCATGACCCTCAAATTTATATTCAGCTTTTTGTTCTGGCAGGCATTTTTTGCTTCCCTTCATTCCCACACTTTTTAAAAGGCTTCATTTCAGCCTTATTATCACATAATTAGAAATTAAACAAACCATCTCTTCTAGTCCTTCAATAAACATTACCCTTTCTTACCAGTAGTCTTTCCCCAAACTTTCCACATTGCTGTGCTATGGCACCAGCACTGTGACTGCCATGACTCTTCATTCATTGACAGCAAGAACCACATATTACCATTATATTCCTAGTTTCTAGTTGTTGATAGGTGCCACTGAGTCAAATACGACTCATAGTGACACTATGGACAACAGACCTGAGCCCTATCCTGTGCTGTACTCATGAATTCTGACATACCTCAGTTCATTGCTATATTCCAGTCTTCTCATTGAGATCTTCTCATTTCTGACTGTCCATCTTTCTAGGCATGATGTCCTTTTTTAAGAGATAATCATTATTCAGTAAGTTATAATAATACAAAGGTGAGTAACCATGATCTCTCTGGAGAAAATGAAAAATGAGTTCATGCCTTAATAGTCTATGTTATTATTTTTTTTCTTTTTAATTCATCTAATGGTACCCCCTGGAAGCAAGGATGATGAAACTCTGCCTCCCATATGCTGGGCATGTTGTCATGAGGGACCGATCCTTGGAAAAGGACATCATGCTTGGAAGGGCAAGAGAGGGAGGCCTTTGTTGAGATAGATTGACAGTGTTTGTGGCAATGGGATCTTGTATGTTTGAGATGGAGAGCTTGGCTTAGTCTAGGACAAGGTTAAGAGTTTTAGGATAAGGTTTATAGTGTCTCTGAGTTGTAGTTGACTTGATAGCACATAACAACAAGACATTTAATTTCAGAATATGTTCTATTTTCTATATATTTATTTACACAAAAAATTAGAAGTAGTAATGATTTTCTTGATAGTAAACTTTTTCCTAGGAGTTTACAACTCAAGGACATTTTATTCATGATATTTCAGATATGACCATTCTGTTTCAAATGACAAAGCCCTGATGGTGCTAACTGAAGAACCATTACTGTACATTCCGCCACCTCCTTGTCAACCCCTGATTAACACCACAGAATCTCTCAGGTGAGTTGTAGATTCTTGCAGAAATAATTTGAATAGGTTCCTGTGTTTGGCTTTGGAACTGGAAACATGGCTGAGAGAAGCCGCTAGCTAAAATTACTAGCAAGATAACCATAGCTATATTATGGTTGTTCTGTGGCCACCCCAACCCTATAGCGATGGTAATGGGTCTATTTCAAATAATAGTATTAGAATTTTACTTAAATATGCCTTAATATTTGAAAACTACAGAATAATATGAATTCTATATTTTCATAAAGAAAAATAGGGAGTCCTGGTGGCCTCACTGCTAAAGGCATTATACTATTAACCCAAAGGCAGTGCCTCTGCTAGTTAAAACCCACCAGTGGCTCTGAGAGAGAAAGATGAGCAGTCTTCTCCCAAGAGATTGTCAGTCTCCAAAAAACCTGCTGAAAGGTCAGCTTTGAGTCGGTTCCAACTCAATGACGAGTTTGAGTTTTTTTTATTTGGAATAAGAGAATATTAATATCTGTATCTTGTTATTCATATGCAGCATATATGGGCTATTAATATCTGTATTCTTGAATAATAAAAATTCAAGGCTAAGTGTTAGACTTGACTTATAGCTGAAGGTATTTTTCCCCTAAATTAGGAATATGATATTTTAAAGATAATGTTCTTCTGGAAACACCTCCCCGTTAATATACCTTGTTTATCAACTTTACTCTTGAATTGTCTTCTGTGATTTTGGATCTAGTCCTTGACTCCCCAAGACTCTTTGGTGTTTTTGTGATAAGTAGTAATCAGCTAGACTTCGTTAACCTTACGTCTTCTCAACTGCACTGAAAAACAAAGCAAATGAAAGGATTTACAACTTTGTTAATTTATAATTTAAATTCAGAGTTTAAGTGTACAGTTCTGTTACTAAAATAAATGTGAGAAATATGAAAAAATGATTTACATATTTTTTTCTTTTTATTGTTGGAGTAGTGCATTGATTGGCCCCACCCATCCAAGAGCAGAAACTGGAAATACTTTTTTTTCTTTTGGTGGAAAAAATTCTGTAGCTAAATATTTGCTTTGGCAAATATTATGTCTGGCAAATATGTTATTAGTTATAGTATTTCTTTTTATTTTTTTAGATTTTGAATTTATGGTTGAAAAGGCTATCAGTTAAGCATGCATATCTTAAAACCAACTTAACATTAAGTGTCTCAGCTTTTCCAAATCCAAAAGCAATACTGAATCATCTGACACTTGGGATCTTCTTTGGAACCTATAGAATATAATTAAATTCACTTCAAACTAAGCAGTAAGGCTTGTTTCTATGAAACATACTCACTCATTTAATTTATAGGTTAAATCATGAACTTCGAGGATGGGTTCACAGACATGAAGTAGAAAGGACGAAGTCGAGAAGAATGACAAATAATCAACAGAAAACTCGTATTCTTCAGGTATGTTTTTGCTTGTCTTTGACTAATAATTGACAGTTTTGTTGGTAGGCATCCCCCTCTGGAGCTGCTGTCTCTTTGGAAGATTGGTGGAGCTTTGTCTTGAGCTGTGTTTGCTAATTCCTCCTGTTTCTAATGTGGCTGTCACTACCACCAAACCCTGTCCCTTCCCTCCTCCAACGTTTAGTAGCACTGGTAGAGCCTCCTCATGCATGATACTACTTTCTGCTCTTCTCTTCAGATTTTCTTTCAAGCCAAAGGTATTGTTGCTAGTTACGTGCCTCTTTTCTACTACCTGTGAAAGAGTGGAACTGCTCCATAGCATGGTTTCAGCAGTAATCTTTATGGATCAGCTGGTTGCCAGTCTTTCACTTAGGATCTGAGCACTTAATTGTCTTGCCAGCAAAAGTCCAGAGCTTTTTAAAGAGGCTATTGATACATTGACATAGCTAGGAAGTGAAGGTGGACACATTTCCATGAGAGCCTTTATGAACATAGACGTGTACTACTAAGAGTTGAGACACTTTAAATATAAAGAAAATAAACAGTTGAAAAATATATACAGAGATACCTTGTTTTATTGCACTTTGATTTATTGCTTTGCAGCTATTTTGGTTTTTACATATTGAAGGCTGTGACAACCTTGTTTTGAGATAAGTCTGTAGATGCCATTTTCCCAACAGGGTGTGCTCACCTCATATCTCTCATATTTTGATAATTATTACAGTATTTTAGACTTTTTTCATAATTCTGCTGCACATTTAATAGACTACAATATAGTGTCAATGTAACTTTTTATGCATTGAAAAACAAAAAAATTTATTTGACTTGCTTCCTTTTCCTGTTTGCTTTATTGCTATGATCTTGGCCTAAACCTGCCTTATCTCCAAGATAGGCCTATATTCAAACATTAAACAAAGGTAATTTATTATTTTAGGTTTCTGTCTTGGTGGTGTTTACCACAAAGCACTATTAGTAGTCTTCCTTTCCTTTATTTGATGTATATTACCACTTCTGAAGCACTTAGACTATTAATAGTACATTGTAAGCTCTTACCAAACATTATGTGCAGGGTATTAAAGAACCTGGTGCTGTTTTAGACCTTGGAAGTATGGAAGGAGATGTATGTGCTTATGTATGTAAGCATGCATGCATTCATTTAAATATGTGTATAAGTATACATGTGCATACACATACATATGTGTACACACACACACACACACACACATTCACATTCACATGATGTTCCCACCTTCGTGGAACTTATCTTCTGGTGAGATACAACAAACAAATAAATATGGTGTAGACTCTAAGTACAGTTAAGTCCTCAAAAGAAAAAAACAACAACAACCCAGTATAGGGGAATGTGAGTTTGAATTGAGAGGTGAATGGTTATTTTACAGTGAGTGATCAAAAAAAGCTTCTTCAAAGAACTTCTAGTTGTGTAAAATATTTTGAAAATAATAAATGACAGTTGTTATAACAGATAGTTGTTTTAACAACCCCCTAAAGCTCAGTACCAATAGGATAAAATTATTATTATTATTATTTACACAACTTAATGTGGCTCTCCAGAATGACTTTTCACCAAGTAGTGACCCAGGAACTCAGGTTCCTTCTAAAGTGTGGTTCTAACAACTTGAAAGCCTTTGCCTCTAAGTGAATTGGAGAAGGGAGAACTTGGAAAATGATACATTATTTTAGGGACTTAGCACATGTTCAATTATGTAAAAATGTCATAGTACCTAAACTGCTATTAGGAAAACTGGGAACATAACTTCTGCCATAGGCAAAAAATTGAAGAATAACAATGTAATGATCTAGGAGAATCCCTGGGGAAATAATTTTCAAATAAAGGGAACAGCAAATGTAAAACTGTACAAAAACAAAGTTTCAATATTTGGGACTATCAAAAAGTTCAGTATAATAGAATATAGTGTCCAAGAGGACCATGATAGTAGATGAGATTTAAGACAGTAGGTCATACCAAACCTTAGGATCAGAATTTTGGATTTCATGCTAGGTATGAGGAAAGACATTGATTTATTTGAACAGAGAAATAATTTAATCTGGTTTATGCTTATGAAAAATCACTCTAGCTGTTATATAGAATAAACCATGTGGGAAGGTATAACTGAAGGTATGGAGGACAGTTTAGAAGCAATTTTAATTGTCTTCAGTTGAGAGAACATTGTGGCCTATTTTACTCCGATAGATTTAAAGGTGAAGGAAAGTTCTTGAATGCCCAATCTATTTTGAAAATAGAGCTGATAAAAATTGCTGTTGTAAAAGATAAATAAAGAAATGATAATTCCTATGAAGATAATGAAAACTAAAGTGCTTAGATCAAAATTTTAGATCTATTAAGTTTGACCTGGCTGTTATAGGTTCAAGAAGTCAAATGGGTAATCAGATAATTAAGTCTGCAGTTTAGAGAATGAGATTGAGGTAGAAGTTTAATTTGATATATTTATTATTGAGGGATAAAGTAAAAAGAGAAGAAAAATTGCACTTTTGGCCAACTGTAGCATAATAAACTTAAGTAGGAGGAATACCAGTGCTTGACAGGGAAGGGGAATGTCTGGATCTCACTCCCTGATCTCATAACCTATTAGACAGCCATAGTAATCCAAATAGCATACTGGTACAATGATGAACACAGAGATCAAAGGAACAGAATTGAGAACCCAGAGTATTGAATATACTATGGACTGCTAAGAAAATGAACATATTTGTCCTGAAGAGGGTGAAGCCAGGCTCTGCTCCTTGGAGACAAGGATTCTGAAGCTTTGTCTGACATACTTTGGACATGTTGCAAGGAGGGACTAGTCCTTGGAGAATGACATCATGCTTGGGATGGTGGAGGGATAGCACAGGAGAGAAAGACACTTGATGAGATGGATTGATTCAGTGACTGGGGTAATGGGGGTATGTGTGTTGGAGGTAGTGAGATTGGCACAAGATACGGCAGAGTTTAGGGCTGTTGTTAGGGTCACTATGAGTCACAGGCAAGTTGACGACACATAACAACAACAGCCTATAGTATATTTGATAAGTAAACAACTAATTAAATGAGGAAACCACAGCCTCTTTTTATTTTTTCTATAATTATATTTTATTAATTTTCATAAACATTTACAGAGATTTTGGGCTTCCACTCATTCATTGTTGCACTATTCTCTCTACCCTCCTCCCAGTTTGTTCTTGTCCAAATGCCACAGTGCTTGTCAAAGCCAGTTCTGATCAATCTTCTTTGTCAGTGTATCCTTTGCCATTCCCTATCACTCCTCCCTGAGAGAGACTTCACCCTGAGTCATAAGGAAAAGGGCACGGGTCTCTTCAGGGTATATTCCCAGTAGTGGAATTGCTGGGTCAAATGGTATCTCTATTTGCAACTTTTTGAGAAAGCGCCATACTGCTTTCCACAGGGGTTGCACCATTTTACACTCCCACCAACAGTGAATCAGGGTTCCAGTTTCTCCACAACCTCGCCAGCATTTGTTGCTTGCTGTTCTGTTAAATTTTGCTATTTTGACTGGGGTGAAATGATATCTCATAGTTGTTTTAATTTGCATCTCTCTTAGGGCTAGGGATTTTGAGCATTTCTTCATGTGTTTGTTAGCCATCTGAATGTCGTCTTCGGTGAAGTGCCTGTTCATATCCTGTGCCCATTTTTCTATTGGATTATTTACCTTTATCTTGTTGTGGTGCTCAAGTATTTCATAAATTCTGGATATAAGTCCCTTATCTGATATGTTATTACCGAATACTTTTTCCCAGTCAGTGGCTTCCCTTTTTACCCTACTGGAGAAGTTTTTGGATGTGCATAGGGATTTGAGTCTTAGAAGGTCCCATTCATCTATGTTATCTTCTCCTGGTTGTAGCTTTTCCAGGATAACCACAGCCTCTTTAACAAATGGTACTGGCAACACTGGACATCTACCTGCAGAAAACTGCAATAGGATCCGTGTCTAACACCATAAACAAAGTGGATACTCAAAGTGGATCAAAGACCTAGAGTTAAAAACCAAACCCATGAAGATCATAAAAGACAAAATGTGAACAAATTTAGAAGCCCTCGCCTATGGAGATAAATAGACTTAAAAACAAAGGAAAATATGTACAACTAAGAGAGGCTAAAAAGCAATGAATAGGATCTTCTTAAAGTCAAATCCTGTGTGCATCAAAAACTTTCTCTAAGAAAGCTCACAGACTGGGGAAAAATTTGACAACAACATTTCAGATAAGAATTTCATAACTAAACTCCAGGGCCTCTGCAAGAAAAAGGTCTAATAATCCAATCACAAAATGGGCAAAAGATGTAAAAAGAGTCCTCACAAAGGAGGATATTCATTTGGGTAACAAACACACGAGGAAATGTTCAAAATTGCTGATAACCAGAGAGATGCAAATCAGAACAACTACTAGATAACATGTCACTTCCACAGCAATAGCAAAGTTCAGCGATAGACCAAACAATGAATATTGGAGAGGATGTGGAGAGATTGGAACTCTCATGCACTACTAGTGGGATTGTAAATGCTACAGCTGCTGTGGAAGGTAGTGTGGCATTTTAAAAAGAGCTAAATGTAGAAATCCTGACTGTCCCAGCCATTTCACTACTAAGATTATACCCCAACGAAATCAGAGCTGTGACATGAATGGAGATATGTACACATATGTTCATAGCAGCACTATTCACAATAACAGGAAAATGGAAACAGCCCAAATGCTCATTAAAAAAAGAATGTATTGAAAATCTGTGGTACATTCATACAATGGAATACTATGTGGCACTAAGAAACAATGATTTAATAAAATTCTGTATAACATGGGAAAGTCTAGAGAGTATTATGCTGAGTGAAATAACACAGCCACATAAGGACAAATATTACATAAGACCACTGTTGTGAAAATAGGAGGATGACTGAGAAAGGATATCTAAATGTTCCAAAGGTAAAAGATAAAAGAACAAGGGGGAGAAAGAGTAAAGGAAGAAGGAA